TTCAGTGGACGTCGCAGGCAGAATCGGTCGGCGAACAGCGTGGACATCGGCATGACCGGGTTGATTGACTGGGAGAGTTACGTGTGTGCTAGACGGCTGATTCGGTTGTAAGCGTTCGTGGTGGCGTCTTCTGCTTCTTTTTACTACGGTCGACACTGGCTTCTGGACAGTGGTTCCTACCCACTGTGATACATGAACGGCCTCAGAAAGTAGAAGGAAATGGTTTTGCTATGATCGGCAAAATCTTGTAGCAACATAAGAAACAATATGTTGCGCGATGGTGTACCACCTCAACTTCGATGCACGATGACAGGCTTGGCGAAAGTGCCAGGTAGGTCGCCCTGCTTGTGGTTGGCGTTCGAGCATAATAGCGGCCAAATGCATTATCCTGCCTTGTGCTTGAACCATAGCGGCGCAGAAGCATGAGGCGATGTTGCCAGATCGAGTGAACTCGAGCCATCACCAGCGCTGCATCAGCACACCCACTGTCGTAATCCACTGTCAGGAATCAGAGGATGATGGACAACGACTCGGACCCCAAAGTTGACGGAGTGCAAGTTGCTCTACTTCGACGCGCAACGTAAGCCAGTTATGGTTCGAACTACGCCATATGAGAAAAAAATGGAAATCGAAACAAACGTAACAAGAAAGCGGACATTGTATCACCTCTCACCTAATTCAATTACAATAAAAGCTGCCCAGTTCTGCGCGCCACAACGCACTGTGCTGGAACACGGTGCTCCTGCTACAGTACAAATGAGCTCTTGCATCACTCGGCGGTGGTTATCACACGCTATATTGGAACGTTTATTTATTTTTGGACGAGAAACTTGCGTGGTCTGATTCTTTTTTTAACATGTCCAGCATCCGATCCTCGAACGCGCTTAGTTGAAGCGCGCTTCAAGGACTTGAACCTGAAAGATCTAAAGTGAACTTTAGTCTTAAGTCATCCACCAAAGGCGAACGCTGCTGAAGATCGTATTTCACGTAGTTTTTTTTAACGAACGCGAATCATGAGGACCAAAAATGCAGGAAGCAGCGAAAAGAAGCACAGTGTTTTGTTGAATACATAGCAGCCACGACTGTAGCTGCGACGAGCAACGTGCTACGGCAGCGTGCCAACCGTTGCCAAGGGTTCGTTGGTCATTTGAAGTGTACCACTTCACGCGTGACCGTTCCGTCAGAGTTCAGTCTGCACATACCGCTTGAGTTGCTGCAAGGGAATCGTGTTTCCTTCGAATTTCTGCCCGCAAAAGACGCATCTATCTTGCTGCAGTTAAAAACACGCAGTACGTCTAGCACACACGTAACTCTCCCAGTCAATCAACCCGGTCATGCCGATGTCCACGCTGTTCGCCGACCGATTCTGCCTGCGACGTCCACTGAACGACGCGCTCTATGGACCCGTGGGGCTCTACGAGGACACAAAGCGCGGCGAGATTGTCGCCATCAAGCAGGTGTCGCTCGCGCGGGCCGTGGCGGCGCTGCGTCGCAACCCAAACATGGACAACCCCTGGAGCGAGCACCGCGTGGTCTCGCGCCTTATGACGCTGCCACCGCACACAAATGTCGTTCGTTTCCGCGGCGAGTTCCTGCACATGCAGGATACATGGTGCGTCGTCATGGAGTTTTGTCCTGGTGGAGACCTGTGGGATCTCCTGGAGTGCTCACCCAAGAACCGCCTGCCTGAGAGTGAAGCGCGCCAGCTCTTCCGTCAGTGCGTTCGTGGCGTGCGGTTCCTACACGCACACGGCATCGCACACCGCGACCTATCGCTCGAGAATGTCTTCTATTGTCGCGGTGTGTGTAAGATCGGCGACTTCGGTCTCAGCACGGACGCGGCGCTTAGAGGCAGTGGAGAGGCCGTGGGCAAGGCCTATTACATGGCGCCCGAGGTGGTCAACCAGGAGGCGTACGACGCCTACGCTGCCGACATGTGGTCGCTCGGTATCATGCTCTTCATCATGCTCACGGGGTCGCCGCTCACGTCCAATGCGTCACGCGACAACAAGCCGTTTGCCGCGTTTTGCGAGCTGGGCGTGGCGAAGGTCATCGACTCATGGGGACTCTCGGATCGGATATCCGTCGAGACAGTTGTGCTGCTGGACACGTTGCTCAGCGTGAACCCGGCCGAGCGACCAACATCGACCGAGCTACTTGAACTCCTGGAGGTGGCAGGCGATGGTATTAATAGTCGTCCAGCAGTAGTGTAGCTGGAGATAATAGTGATGTAGAAGGTAACCCGACGATGTCGTAAAACATATTGGAAGCAGCACGTAATATAATACCGAAATAATCTAAAGTCAATGCGCACTTGAGACAAATAGTCGCTTAAAAATAATAGCTTAACCTAGTTGGTTGAGCTGAGGCATGCAGCGTGAGGTCAAGGCTATCTCATCGAATCTCTCGCTGGCATAGGGGCTGCGAAAGAACTTTTTGTAGACCAAAAGAGCATTAAAGCCGTGCTGACTGATTGCTGCTCTACTTGCACCTCACACTTTCTAAAACGACGACGTTCGCGTCCAGATTTTGAAATCTGAAAACCTGGTCGAAAACCTGTTTCTAGAAAAGAGAAGTATGTCTTTTATCGTTGTT